CCCGGAATACCAAAAAAAAAAAAAAAAAAAAAAGAAAGGAAGAAACAACATAACAGAACTGCTTTTAATGTGACTGGTCCACTTAGTAGCTATGTGAACTTGGGCAAGTCGTTAAATTCTTCCTCACCTACATTTACTTATTTGTAAAGCTGAGCTCGACAACTCTGTTGTCAGTTCTTGGGGGCTTCGGAGAACTTGGGGGCCAGGAAGAGTCCACTTGTTAAACAATACTTGTTGCTGAGCCTGTCCAGTTTTGCCATCAACGGCGAGCGTGAAAGATTCTGCCAGGGTTCTGGGGCAAAGCCCAAAGCATCTGGAAACTTCTGTTTTATCTTAATACAAACCTTGCAGCTGACCCACTATAAAGTATGTGTTTTCATATACAGTGTCTTCCCCCAAACATCCTAATAAAATTAACACCCCAGGAAGAGGTTTGCTGATTAAGATCTTTGGATCCGGAGTCAAACTGTTGGGTTCTCTCCAATAAGTGACAACCTCTCTGAGCCTTAGTTTCTTCATGTGTAAAATGGAGCTAAAATAGAGCTTACCTCACAGGATTGTTGTGAGGATTAAATAAGGTGATACCTGTAAATACCTAGCATAGTGTCTGACGTGTAGTGAATACTCAAAGAAAATATCAACTCTTTTATTATCCTCACTCAAAAAACTTGGACTAGATGAATTAGAGCAGAGTTATACAGAATCATCTTAAAGCTGACCCCTTTGGAGGTCAACAACCCCTTTTAGAATCTGATAAAAGCTATGGGCCTCTCCCCTCAGAAAAAATGTACACACATAAAGATTCACTTGTTTCTTAACGTATCTGAAGAATGTCTGAAGTGTTAGATGAACGTGTGTTAGGATGGGGATGGACCCTAGCTGAAACTGTCCTTGCCCCCTCCTTCTCTTGGTGTGGCCCCGGATCCTGGGTCCCTCCCTCCCCGAGACCCATGAGACAGAACTGGAGTAAAGGTGAGCTTTATTATTGGCATGAAGGCAGGGAGTGCCAGGCCCTCCTATGGTTGAGGGGGCAGAGGGCTCGACCAGCCAGTACCGATCCTCCAAGCTGGCCTTCCAGGGAGGTCCAGGGTTCCAGGTGCCTCTGGCTTTCAGCAGAAGCAGTGGGTGGGCAGGTGAGCAGGCTGCTAGGCTTTGGATAGGTGGGCTATTCAGGGATGCTCTGGAGCTGGCGTCGGCCTGGGGTTGGCAGGGGGTGGAGGGCGAGGCTGGATGTCCCTGGTGCGCATATAGGACAGTAGCTGCTCTGGGATCTCGGCCAACACGTCCTTGGCTAGTCGGGCCATGCTCAGCACCTGGTTCCCTGACCGGTCGACATAGTCTCGGAACGGGACGAACTGGGACAGGCACAGACAATCAGATGTGGGTGGTGGACAGAAGAGAGGGGAGTGGGGAAGGCAGCAGTAGGGAGGCTTCCTCTTTGACCCCCTAACGTCTCTTTCCAAATATCACACTATCTCTCTCCCCCATCTTGAGGAGCTTTCTACATTTGCTTTCTCTCCACCCACTTTTTTTTTCACCTTCTGTTCACCCTCAACCCACTCTAATTTGGCTTCGTGTAGTCTACTGAAACTGCTCTCACTAACGATGTCAACAGCACCATTTTCCCAAATTAGTCCAGAGGGCAATGACTGTCAGCCTCATCTTGCTGACTCCCCTTATCTTCCTATTACATTTGACCATAATCTTCCTGAACACTTCCCACTCTTGACACATTACATTCTTCTAGATTCTCCTACCTTTCTGGATGCCTTTCCCCCCACCCCCACCCCCAGTCCTCTGGGTCTACCTAATCTCTAAATCTGGTGCCTTCTCTCTCTCAGTTCTCTTCCTGGGTGATTTCATACACTTCTGTGACTTTACAAACTGTTCCCTGGATTAAGAGATACAAACTACTATGCATAAAATAGATAAGCAACAAGGATATATTGTATAACACAGGGAATTATAGCTTTTATCTTGTAATAACTTTTAATGGAGTATAAACTAAAAATACTGAATCACTGCTGTATACCTGAAACATATTGTAAGTCAACTATACTTCAATTAAAAAAAAAAACCTGTTCCCTCATGAGTCCCCAATTTATACATCCATCCCTGACCTCTTTTTTAAGGCCCAGAGCCACATATTTAGTTGTCCATATCACATCTCCTTTCATTGGTCTTAGATACCTCAAGCCCAATGTGTTTACAACGGAATTCTAGGCTTGTCTGCCAAATCTGCTCCTCCTCCAGCTTTCTCTTTCCCAGTAAATGGGACTATCACTCACCCAGTGGCTCAGTATAGAAAACTGAGAATCATCCTTGAAGCCCCCATCACTCCCTGTCACCATTTAATGAAATCTTCAACTCTTGGCAATTTTTCTTAAATAGTCTTTTGAAGCTGCTTCCTCTCTCCATCCGTACCGCTTCCATTCCCGCCCAAATCCCCTGCACTGCTTCGAAGGCCTCTTCATTAACGGCTCTGCCTGCCTTCTCGCTTGCCCTGCTACAGTCCACCATCCTGCAGCATCTCTGCCTGTCGTAAAACGCAAGTCTGACCACCCCACTTCTCTACGTAAAATCCTTCAAGAGCTTTCCAGTTCTTTTAGAACAAAGCTCTAAGCTTCACCATGACTGGCAAGGCCTTGGCTTCCTCTTCCTCTCACTCCCTGTGAACCTGCCACCCTGGCCTCTTGCCCTCTCCATGATTGGGCAAGTTCTTTGGAGCCTAAGGGCCTTCTCACGTGCTGCTTCTCTACCTGTAATGCTTATACCTCCTTTAGATTTCAGCTCAAATGTCATTCCCTCGTAGTAGCTTTCCCTGACTACCCTACCTAATCAGGTCCCGGTTATAGGCTCTCATTGTGGCGTTTGCTGCCCCTCTGGAGCACTTATCACAATCTAATGAGATGTGTGATTATTATTGGTTGCCTCCACTAGAGGGCAGGAGCCTTGGGATCTCCTACACTATGAATCCGCAATGGCTGCAGCAACCTGCCTGTTTCTCGAAAAGAATTTGCTGAATGAATGTAGGAAGGCTGAAGGAGTGAAGGGAAGAAAGGTAGGTGACTAAGAAGGCAGTAAGGGAGAAGAGCTGCTAGCTTAGCCTCTCCATCCCACCGTGCCTTTTGACTCCATGACTTCCTCTCCCGGGTCAGGTCTACCTGAACGATGTCCCGCTCTGCATAGCGTCCCCTAGAGGACACGCGCACGTCATCACCATCCAACTCTTCCATTGCTGCGGAAAAGACACCCCTCAGCTGACTGGCCTTCCCCACACCAACCCATGCTGCCCCCTCCCTCTTAGCTCCCCTTTGGAGTCATCATGAGAATGCCTAACAGTTGTATCAAAGTCCTACAAGTATTAGGCATTGTAATGGAGCTATTATTATGCCCTCCCACGCATTCCTTCATCCCAGGAGCCCCAGGAGGGAAGTATTTGTATCAACACCTCGGCTATGATGAGGAAACAGGTTCAGAGAAGGTCTGTGACTTGGCCAAAGTCCAGCACAGGCATCCATCCTATCTTTTCTAGGCAGGCCTGGGTGCCCAGATCCTCCCCTGTTTTCCCATTATTGGTCCCACTCATGGACACCCCCCATCTTACCCTCAAACATGGCTGGTCCCACACCGACAATAATGATGGACATGGGCAGTGAGGAGGCCTGTGAGGGAAAGAGGGTAGATGGTTGGGGTGAGCAGGCGTAACAGGGGAAGTGACTGTTGGGAGACAATCCTGTGTGTGTGATGTTTCTGCACATCTTACAAGCAGAGGCACTGATTCCCTTTGTGTCAGATTATCTTTTCAAGGATGTCTCCATATGTAACTGCCTTGAAAGATACAGTGTCTTCCTACAGAGCAAAGGGCAGGTTTGTTTACTGTCCAGTGTAATATCTCACACTGGAACAAAGGGAAGGCATGCTTACTGCCCATTATAAAAGACTCGGGTTCTCTACACTCAGGGTTTCTGTTCTATAATGCAACCCACTGTGGGTACAGGTGTCATCTGGCCCTCTGCACATTATCTTGTGGGAAGCGGGACTTAGTGAATCAAAGCCAATGCTGATAGTTGAGCTACTGCTATTGCTGGGAATAGCAAAGTCCTTTGCTTTTTTTGGCCACGCTGCATGGCATGTGGGATCTTAGTTCCCCAACCAGGGATCGAACCCATACCCCCTGCAGTGGAAGCGCAGAGTCTTAACCACTGGAGCGCCAGGGAAGTCCCAAAGTCCTTTGCTTTTGTGTCTGCTGCCAGCATCCATGAAACTGGCAGGCTGACTTGTTAGCTTGCGTGTAGGGTAAAATCTCAACCCCTTCACGGTTATTAACAGTGACCCCTCCCTTCCAAGCCCTCCTCCTCAGACTCACACTGACAATGGCCTCCTTGGTCTGTGTCATGTCAGAGATGACCCCATCAGTGATGATGAGCAGAACATAGTACTGAGAACCATCAGAGATCTTGGCTGCAGCCCTGGGTGAGAGGCCAAGATCAGAATTCAGCTGAAAGCCCAGAGTTCAAAGGAATGTCCTGTCCCCAAAACTTCCATAGCCAGCACGTATGCAGTGGACATGGACTGGGGCTTCTGAAGCTCATGCTCCTTCCCAAGACCTGGCTGCCTGCCCCACCCACCATCCCTCCAGTTACATTTATAGAACACTCACTATAGCAGGTACAGTGTTTAGGCACTGGAGGTACGCAGTGAGAAAAACAAATCCATCCCAGTCCCCTTGAGAGGGGATGCTGATCTAAGAATCACAGAAATAGCTATAGAATTGCACTTGTGATGAGAGTTGGGATAGAAAGAGACACTGCTATGACAGTGTCCTGTAGGGCATCTTGACATGGCCCAGGTCAATGAAAGCTTCTTTAAGGAAACAATGTTTGAGGATAAAGGAGAGGAGGAAGGAGAAGAGGCTAAGCGAAGGGGGAAAATTATTCCAGGTGGAAGGGCCCCATAATGGGACTGGAGGACTCCTACCCTTAATGGAGCCCAGAAAGTGAAGGAAGCAGAGTGGACCATGTGACTGAAATGAGGTGGGGCCCAAACCACACAGGGCTTTGTTGGCCCTGGAAAGATTTTGGTATTTATACAAGAACAAGACCAAAGACTGAAGGCCTCCTTTCTTCCCTCTCTCACCCATTTCTCCTCTCTCCCTTCTCCCCTCTGCTGACCACATCCCATTGCCTAGGTTTCTGGGTCCTCAGCCAGTCTAACAGCTGCTCCCAGAGCTCCTTTTCCTTCTCTCACTATCAGTCTTTGAATCCAAGATTTTTTGATCTGAAAAGGACTTCAGAAGTCATTAACTCTAGTCCCCTTATTTTACACATAAGAAAAATGAGACCTCAGAGAGCACAAAGGCCGTGGCAGACCTGGTCTCTTGACTTCCAGTGTCGGGCCCTGTGTGGATTGGAAAGGATGGAGTTGCACTCTCCAGTAAGGTAGCCCCTATTGAAATTTATATTAATTAAGTTAAATGAAATTCAACATTCAGTTCCTTGTTCCCCCTAGCAACTTTTCAAGTGCTCACTATCTGTATGTGCCTGGTAGCTACCATATAGGACATCACAGATACAGAACATTTCCATCATTGCGGAGTTCTGTTGGACAGTGCTGGTATTTAAGCTTGATATAAAAAAGGAGGAAAGCGTGGTGAGAGTGGAGAATTCAAATAGCTACAGTTCATTTTGCCCAGGGCCCAGGGTGGGAGTGGGCCGTGATCCGTTCCTGAATCCTGGCTGCAGCCTCCTCATAGGCTTGGGCTGGTACTGTTTCCTGTCACTCACTCATTTTGCAAGTAATCATTGCACACCTGCTATGTGTCAGGCACCAAGTTTGGTGCTGAGCATGCGGCAGAGAATTGGACATTGTCCTGGGGGGAGATGGATGCTTTCACCACTAAGATGCAGTGAGGTTAGGGCTTTGAGGACAAGACATCTAACCTAAGACCTGAAAAATGAGTAGGAGTTAGCCAGGTGGAGGTGGAGGTGGGGTGGGGGGCAGGAGGGGAGGGTAAAGGGAAAGTGTTCCAGAGAGAAGGAATAGCATGTGCAAACCAAGAGAGTGTGTTCTAGGGGCTGCACGTAGGACCACAGCAGAGAGATGAGGCTGGAGAAGTGAGCAATGGCCCCCTCATGAAGGGATTTGTGAGCCAGGGCACTGGGGAGCATGGAAGGGCTTTGGGGCACGGGAGGTACATCTTTGGCTCCCTGCTGATGCCTGGCATTCCCAAGGTCATGTAGACCTGGAGCTGGGTGACTGGCTGGGGAAGGCCAGTCTGTGCCCCACTTGGCTGGGGGGTGGGAAATGACAAAGAGTCATCTGTGATCATCAAAATCACAGCCGCACTCTTGACATACGTGATCTAATTGAATCCTCACCACCATTCTATGAGGTAGGCACATTTTTTATTCCAGTTTTTAAAATGAGAAAAGTGAAGTTCAGAGACTTTAAGTAGCATCCCCAAGGGGTGGTGCAGCTGTGGTCCAAGCCCACGCTTGAACAACTGAACCTAAAGCCTGAGCTCTTGATTCCTCCAGTCTTCATTCCAGCCTGCTCTCTGGATACTCCTCCGTACACACTGCACATTCTGCTCAGAGTGTACTGTTCACTGTTTACCGAGCTCGCCCTTCATACCTCTGTGCTTTTCACATGTGGCTCCTGCTGCCAGGCCTCCTCTGTCCATCTTCCTCTGACAAAGTCCAGTTTGCCTTCTGCACCCAGCCAAGCAGTCAGTCCCCTGCGACTACACTGCCTTGGCTCTCTCAGACTCTCCTTCTCCCTCTGCCTTCTAGGATGCCACCCACCAAGACGGGCTGTCTGCCCTTCCAAATGGGTTCTCACACCCCTGAGGGTACCAGCATGCGTGCCAAGGGGAACCCAAGGTCACAGGATACCGGAAGCACTCATTATACTATATGATTTGGTGGATAAAGCTAGATGACTCTAAGTACACTTAAAACACCTTTTCCCCCACCTATATTATAGCAAACATGGACACAATATGAGAAGAATGTAAATTTGCATGCATTTCTAAGATAAAATATGGGGATTTCAAAGACATTTTCAGCTTGGCTGCTTTCAGCCGTGCCCCCAGTTTCCCGTATAGGGGAAGCGGTTGTTTGCCTTTGCCGACAGGCAACTTGCTGGAAAAGTCTGGGAAGCTCCGGCCTACAGAAGGTAATGATTTGTTTATATTTCTGTCTCCTGCACCGAGGCAGGAGATCTCAAGGGCTGAGCCTAGATCTGATTCATCTGTGAGTCTCTAGTGCCCCTGCAGAGAACTGGGCACACACAGATGCCCTTAGAATAGTAATAATGATAATAATAGTACCAGTAATAGCTAACACCCATAGCACTTACAATGTGGCAGGCACTGTTCTCAGTGCTTGACAAATATTAATTTAGTTAGTCCTCACAACAGCTCTATGATACTATTATCCCCATGTACAGCTGAGGAAACAGGCACAGAGAGGTTAACAGTCTTGCCCAAAGTGACACAGCTAGTAAGTGGTAGAGTGGGTGTAACTTAGCTAGTCTAGCCCCACAGCCCACATCCATGCTACATTCTCCTTTATGGAATGTTCACTGAATGAATGAATGAGTGAACTTGCCCAAGATAATATTTAAGAAGTCTGTTTAATAAAACAAAAAAATGTGCTCAGATTCCATTATTAAGTGAAAAAATCAGTAGTGAAATGTTACATGTAATTTGACTGCCATTATGGTTGCATAAGGAAGACTGTCAATAACTATATATACATCCACATTCCCATGGGCCGTATTCTGGGTGATTTCTTATTTAATTTCTCCATCCTTGAAATTTTCTACAGCAATGTTATGTTACTTTTGTAATTAAAGAAACTATTATCTCACTATGAATTAGAAAATAACTAATCTTTATTAGAGAAAAGGCAAGTCTCTGGACATATAAATCTCCCTGAAATCCTTCCACTTTTATTCTCTTTTTTTGTTTCACCTTTTTACTCTCAAGTTTTCTGAGGTACTTTGTTTTCGATGGGTCTCTTCTATTTAGCATACTACGGTTTACTTATTATTTTTTATTCAATCAGAGAAACTTTAGGTTCACTGACATATGTTTGGTTTTAGTTGTCATTTTATTTTATCTGCATTTAAGAAAATCATTTGTTACCTGAGCTGGCTTTTCTTTGCATTGTATGTTTTTGTTCTGAAAATTTGGAGTTACTCTTTTGTTTTTAGAAGTTACCCTTCTATAGTTTAACCTGCAACTTGAGCTCATTTTAATCTACCATGAGCACCTACTATGGGCCACACACTGTGCTAATCATTCTTTTTTTTTTTTTTTAAAGAATTTGTAATTTCTTTTTTTTTTAAATTAATTTATTTTATTTATATTTAGTTTTGGCTGCGTTGGGTCTTCGTTGCCGTGCGTGGGCTTTCTCTAGTTGTGGAGAGCAGGGACTACTCTTCGTTGCAGTGCACGGGCTTCTCATTGCAGTGGCTTCTCTTGTTGTGGAGCGCGGGCTCTAGGCACGCGGGCTACAGTAGTTGTGGCTCATGGGCTCTAGATCTCAGGCTCAGTAGTTGTGGCACGCGGGCTTAGTTGCTCCGCGGCATGTGGGATCTTCCTGGACCAGGGCTTGAACCCGTGTCCCCTGCATTGGCGGGTGGATTCTTAACCACTGGGCCCCAGGGAAGTCCTAATCATTCTTATATTGTTATCTAATTTTAAATTCCCAATAACTCTATAAAGAAAGTACTATGGTTATCCATTATTACACCTATTTACAGGGATGAAATGGAGGCTTAGAGAAGCTAAGTTGCTTCAGGTCACATGGTTAGTGAGTGGTAGACCTGGGATCACTCCCAGGTCTGATGCCCAAACTTGTGCCTTACCCACTGTTCTGTAGGCCCTTCTCTCTTCCCCAAACTTGAGGCCTGGGTTGTTGTTCCCAGGGAGTGGGGTTGGGGTAGTTTGTTGACATCCTTTCTATCTCAGAATAAGGCATTATGTAACCTCTTTATAACAGAGCCTGGCCAACAGTGAAACTTTCACCTTCTCCCCAGAGCCCAAATTCACCCAAGAGTGGTCCTGACTATCCTTGGGAAGTCAGTTCACCGTCTGGGTTCCCTTAATTTCCCCCAGCGCCACGCAGTTTCCTTACCTGGCCACCTGGTTGATGACAGGGGCGAAGAGGGTGGGCCCGTAGAGCTGCACGGTGCGCAGGCTCTGGAAGTAGCTCTCCAACACGCCCTCAATGCCCACACAGTTGGGGTCCTCATCATTGTTGTTCTGTCAGGGAAGATGCCCTGCTGGGCTGATCCTAGCCCACTCGTTCCTTCTTGCATCGCTGTCTCTCAGAGTCCCCTCCAAACTCCAACCCTGCCCCCTCCCTGCTCTGCCACCTTCTCCTAGCTCCTCCTGCTACTTGGCAGGTCCTTGACCCTTAGAAAAGACATAAGCAGAAGAATCTTGTCAACTTGGGTGGGCCAGATGCCAGGGCATGGAGTCTAGGTTCTGGCCATACCATACCAGGGGGAACTGGTGGGAGATCCGTCCCTCGGGAGGCAGCTTGGCCCCAAAGCCGTAAGCTGGGAACAGCTTGTCACTGTCATAGTCCTGGATGATTTCTCCCACTGCCTTGAGGGCCATGGCATAGGCGCTGAGCTGATAAGGACTCATGTAGTGCAGGGAGGTGGGCTGCAGGGGATTCCCTATAGGGAAACAGGAGCCCCACCTCATGGTCATCTTGATGATCTATTAGTTCACCTGCCTATCATTATATGCATCCATCCACCTATCCATTCATCCACTCTTTACCCATGTACTCCATCATTATTTTACCCAGTCATCCAAAAGTTCATTTATCCATCTATCCATCCACCAACCCCTATATGTATCCATCAGTTCATCCACCTACTCGTACATCCATTCACCCATCCACTGGCCATAAATCCATCTTTCAGTCTACCTATTCATCTCCATCCGTCCGCTTCTCCATTCTCTTATCCAAATATCCACGCACCTAACCATCCATCCATCTATCCATCCATTCACTTCTTCACCTGCTATTTCTCTTTCTTTCCCATCCATCCATATAGCCATATTCTTTCATCCATCTATCCATCCCTATCCATCCCATTCATTCACCTGCCTTTCTATCCTCATATGGATCCATTCACCTGTCCACTCATCCATTTCCCCAATTTAAACATCTGAGCGTTTGTCCACCCACATACCAGTTCATGCATCCACCTGTCTAACCCACTGTACTCACTCATTACCCATTTGCCCCCTCTGTTTATAAATCTATCTACCCCCCCCAGTCATCTACCTATTTACCTATTCATCTCTCATTACACCCCTATTCCCTCCCATCCATTCATTTACTCATCTGCTTCTCAAGCTATGTAGACCTATCTATCCTTTCAACTTTCTTTGATCCATTTACCCACTTATTTTTCTGTACCCTCTCCCACCATTACACCCAGTAATCTCCTCACAACACTCCTGCCCCAGTGTGAGCCTGACTGGGCCTTGCCTCAAGCCTGGGCTTCCTGGGTAGCTTAACTCTTATTCCCAGGTTGGAATCCAGGCCAATCCCTAGTGACTTCTTTAGAATTCCTCCGCACCCCATTCCCCCATCCATGCCTCACCATTGGAAGCTGTGAAGTCAATGGCTACTGTGAAGTTCAGCTGCGTCCTGTTGGGGAAATAGATGGATTGAGAAGGGAGGGACTAATAACTTACTATACCTGGGATTTCTCAAACACTAGTATGCATATGAGCCACCTGGGAATCGTGTTAAAATGCAAATTCTGAACTGGATGGTCTGGGTGGAGCCTGAGATTCTGCATTTCTAACAAACTCCCAAGTGAGGCAGATGCTGCTGGCCCACTGAACACACTTTGGGTGGCAGAATTAAATGCCTGCTGCATGACATAATATGCACGATGTAATTTAATTTAACCCTTACTGTCGTCCTGAAGTGGTATTTAACAGCTCCATTTTACACTGGAGAAAAGTGAGGTTTAGAGAAGACAAGTACCTTTCCGAGGTCTGCCTGCGTCCCCTAAACCAAGCAGGATGTCCCCTACAGCCTGCTTATCGTTTCCCTCTCTCTTGGCTTCTCCCTCTTGCCTGGACATATCTTCTGCTTGGGCCCCAGTAAGGTTACTGGGGACACCTTTGAAAACCACTGGTCTGTCATCTTCCCAGGACGGGCTGGAAGCTCGGGTTGAAAGGCAGCCCCATGGAGAGAACTAAGATGGGCGGCACTCTGCACTTTATAAAGCACTTTGTAGTCTGCCAAGTGTTTTAAAGTTTATCCTCATGATCTCTTTGGACCCTGACCATTAATGAATAGTAAAACTGAGGCTCAGAACTGGGAGTAACTCATTGCTGGGCTTTCAGCCAAAAGCTTGGCCTGTGACTCACCCTCCCTTGATGTAATCGACAAAAGTGAATTCAGAGTCCACAGAAAAGGAAAGCAGCGTCACCTGCGGGACAGAAGAGGCAGCCCTGCTACTTTGGAAAGTGTAGTTAGGGTAGAAAAAGGGACAGAGGCACTTAATTTCACCCCCTACCCCACCCTGTCCAATTTCTGAAAGGGCAAAAAGGGGAAGCTGTCAGAAACATTTGGATTTCCAAAAATATATTAAATTGGGAAATATAACTTAGGTTTTCCCAAAAAATCTGCAAAAGAGTAAATTTCAAAACAATTTCCTTAGGTGAGAGAAAAAAAATTAAAAACAAAATACAACAAAAACTTAAATGGTGCCACCTTGTGTCCAGCATTACTATATCCAAGTAATCTGTGCCAACAGCTTTCCCATGCCCTCAACATTTGTCATGTCATGCTATGTCAGTGGGGATAGAGACAGAAGGATCCAGGGAGGGACAGGGCTCTAGGGAGTACTCACAGTTCCCGAGTTGACATATTTCTTCTTCTTACATTTCTTCCGAGGGTTAAGTACCTAAGTGAAGAAGATAACAGTGATGGTGGGAAACAGGGCGGGAGCCACAGACTGAGCACACTAGGATGGGGGGCCTGGGCAACCTGAGCAGGGCTGGAGCTCTCACCTCATACACTGTGAACTGGTTCTGCGCCTTGCTCAGCTCTCTGTAGCTGGTGGTAAACTCACCGATGAAGTCGTGACTACAATGAGACCAGAGGTGGGTAAGCAACAACTGCTGGTGGCTTGGAGCCATCTCTGAAACCAGTCTTTTTTTTTTTTTTTTTTTTTTTAAATAAACCATTAGAGTACTGGGAGATAATCTCATTAATTTTATTTTTTTTTAATTTATTATTATTTTTAAATTGATTTATTTTTGGCTGCATTGGGTCTTCGTTGCTGCTCGTGGCTTTCTCTAGCTGCAGCGAGCGGGGCTACTCTTTGTTGTGTTGCGCGGGCTTCTCATTGTGGTGGCTTCTCTTCTTGTGGAGCTCAAGCTCTAGGCGTGTAGGCTTCAGTAGTTGTGGTGGGCGGGCTCAGTAGTTGTGGCACAAGGGCTTAGTCGCTCCGCGGCATGTGGGATCTTCCCGGATCAGGGCTCGAACCCGTGTCCCCTGCACTGGCAGGCGGATTCTTAACCACTGCGCCACCAGGGAAGTCCGAAACCAGTCTTTTATTTCCACTATCTGTGCCTCTACTTGGGCTGCAGGGCACTGGGGCTTGGGCTAGAAGAGGGACCAAGCTAAGGGGAAGAGAAGGGAAGAGACAGTGTACCAGAGAGACAACTGAGGGCATCAGTTGTACCCAAGGTCTTGGCATCTGTCATCAACGTTTCTGGCTCCCAAGGCTACTCTGGGGTTCCTAGTGAATGTACTACATATTTCAGGGAGCTGTTTGTGTTAATTATAGGAGAGGGCAGTACTATGGGGGGCAGTGCTACCTTCCATCCCGGTCCCAGTCGTACACATCAATCTTCACTGTTCTGAAATGCAGGAGATAAACGTAGGCTCGGTGTGTATAATAAATCTGAGACACCCACACCCACTTAACTATACATAAATCATCTTCCAATCCACCCATCTGTCCTTCTATCAAACTTCCTCCTATCCGTCCTATCCATTCATCAGTCCATGCACATACCCAACTATCTACTGCCACTACCACTATTATTACTACTACTACTGATATTTATACTGCGGTTGCTATACTTTACTCCTGAGGTTTTTTTTTTTTGGCTGCACCGCATAGCTTGCAGGATCTTATTTCCCCAACCAGGGATTGAACCCAGGCCCTCCACAGTGAAAGGGCACAGTCCTAACCACTGGACCGCCAGGGAATTCCCTACAACTTATTGAGTCTTACTATATTCCAGGTATTGTTCTCAGCACTTTCACAGACTAATTTAATTTAACAATCATTCTATAAAGTAAGAACTATTGAGATAGCCTCATCCACCAGAGGGCAGACAGCAGAAACAAGAAGGACTACAGTCCTGCAGCCTGCAGAACGAAAACCACAATCACAGAAAGACAGACAAAAAGAAAAGGCAGAGGACTGTGTCCCAGATGAAGGAACAAGATAAAACCCCAGAAAAACAACTAAATGAAGTGGAGATAGGCAACCTTCCAGAAAAAGAATTCAGAATAATGATAGTGAAGATGATCCAGGATCTCGGAAAAAGAATGGAGGCAAAGATCAAAAATATGCAAGAAATGTTTAACAAAGACCTAGAAGAATTAAAGAACAAACGAACAGAGATGAACAATACAATAACTGAAATGAAAAATAGACTAGAAGGAATAAATAGCAGAATAACTGAGGCAGAAGAACGGATAAGTGACCTGGAAGACAGAATGGTGGAAATCACTGCTGCAGAACAGAATAAAGAAAAAAGAATGAAAAGAAATGAAGACAGCCTAAGAGACCTCTGGGACAACATTAAACACAACAACATTCGCATTATAGGGGTCCCAGAAGGAGAAGAGAGACAGAAAGGACCCGAGAAAATATTTGAAGAGATTATAGTCGAAAACTTGCCTAACATGGGAAAGGAAATAGCCACCCAAGTGCAGGAAGCACAGAGAGTCCCAGGAAGGATAAACCCAAGGAGAAACACGCCAAGACACATAGTAATCAAACTGACAAAAATTAAAGAAGAAGAAAAATTATTGAAAGCAACAAGGGAAAAACGACAAATAACATACAAGGGAACTCCCATAAGGTTAACAGCTGATTTCTCAGCAGAAACTCTACAAGCCAGAAGGGAGTGGCATGACATAGTTAAAGTGATGAAAGGGAACAACCTACCACCAAGATTACTCTACCCGGCAAGGATGTCATTCAGATTTGACAGAGAAATCAAAAGCTTTACAGACAAGCAAAAGCTAAGATAATTCAGCACCACCAATCCAGCTCTACAACAAATGCTAAAGGAACTTCTCTAAGTGGGAGACACAAGAGAAGAAAAGGACCTACAAAAACAAACCCAAAACAATTAAGAAAATGGTAATAGGAACATACATATCTATAATTACCTTAAATGAGAATGGATTAAATGCTCCAACCAAAAGGCACAGACTGGCTGAATGGATACAAAAACAAGACCCGTATGTATGCTGTCTACAGAAGATGCACTTCAGACCTAGGGACACATACAGACTAAAAGTGAGGGGATGGAAAAAGATGTTCCATGCAAATGGAAATCAAAAGAAAGCTGGCGTAGCCATACTCATATCAGATAAAATAGACTTCAAAATAAAGAATGTTACAAGAGACAAGGAAGGACACTACATCATGATCAAGGGATCAATCCAAGAAGGAGATACAATAATTATAAATATATATGCACCCAACATAGGAGCACCTCAATACATAAGGCAACTGCTAACAGCTATAAAAGAGGAAATTGACAGGAACACAATAATAGTGGGGGACTTAAACACCTCACTTACACCAATGGACAGATCATCCAAACAGAAAATTAATAAGGAAACTCAAGCTTTTAATGACACAATAGACCAGATAGATTTAATTGATATTTATAGGACATTCCATCCAAAAACAGCAGATTACACTTTCTTCTCAAGTGCGCACGGAACATTCTCCCGGATAGATCACATCTTGGGTCACAAATCAAGCCTCAGTAAATTTAAGAAAATTGAAATCATATCAAGCATCTTTTCTGACCACAACACTATAAGATTAGAAATCAACTACAGGGAAAAAAATGTAAAAAACACAAACACATGGAGGCTAAACAGTACATTACTAAATAACCAAGAGATCGCTGAAGAAATCAAAGAGGAAATCAAAAAATACCTAGAGACAAATGACAATGAAAATACTATGATCCAAAACCTATGGGGTGCAGCAAAAACAGTTCTAAGAGGGACGTTTATAGCAATACAAGCCTACCTCAATAAACAAGAAAAATCTCACATAAACAATCTTACCTTACACCTAAAGGAACTAGAGAAAGAAGAACAAACAAATCCCAAAGATAGTAGAAGGAAAGAAATCATAAAGATCAGAGCAGAAATAAATGAAATAGAAACAAAGAAAACAATAGCAAAGATCAATAAAACTAAAAGCTGGTTCTTTGAGAAGATAAACAAAATTGATAAACCTTTAGCCAGACTCATCAAGAAAAAGAGGGAGAGGACTCAAATCAATAAAATTAGAAATGAAAAAGGAGAAGTTACAATGGACCCCACAGAAATACAAAGCATCCTAGGAGACTACGACAAGCAACTATATGCCAATAAAATGGACAACCTGGAAGAAATGGACAAATTCTTAGAAAGGTATAAACTTCCGAGACTGAACCAGTAAGAAATAGAAAATATGAACAGACCAATAAGAAGTAAGGAAATGAAAACTGTGACTAAAAATCTTCCAACAAACAAAAGCCCAGGACCAGATGGCTTCACAGGTGAATTCTATCAAACATTTAGAGAAGAGCTAACACCCATCCTTCTCAAACTCTTTCAAAAAATTGCAGAGGAAGGAACCCTCCCAAACTCAATCTATGAGGCCACCATCACCCTGATACCAAAACCAGACAGATACTACAAGAAAAGAAAATTACAGACCAATATCACTGGTGAATGTAGATGCAAAAATCCTCAACAAAATACTAGTAAACAGAATCCAACACATTAAAAGGATCATACACCATGATCAAGTGGGATTTATCCCAGGGACGCAAGGATTCTTCAATATATGCAAATCAATCCATGTGATCCACCACATTAACAAACTGAAGGAGAAAAACCATATGATCATCTCAATAGATGCAGAAAAGCTTTTGCCAAAATCTACCACCCATTTATGATAAAAACTCTCCAGAAAGTGGGCACAGAGGGAACCTACCTCAACATAATAAAGGCCATATGTGACAAAACCATGGCAAACATCATTCTCAATGGTGAAAAACTGAAAGCATTTCCTCTATCAACAAGGATTCATCTATCCAACCAAATACCCAGCCATCTGACATTTGTCTATCTGATCATGCATTCTACATAACCATCCACTTATATGCCCATCCATCCTTCTACCCACTCACCTATCTTCATACTGCCCATTTGTTAGATCATATGGTCAGCCTATCCATCTACTTTACACTCATCCACCAACTAATTCATCCACTAATCCATCCATTCCCTCTACCATCCATTCATCTGTCTATCCATCAATCTACCTGTCATTCCACCTGTTTATGCTCCTGCTTTTTCAGTTATCCCTCTGCCTCTCCAACCAACTCACCAATCTCTCATATACCCATCCATCCTCTCACACATTTAGTCATCCACCCATTAATCCACCCATCATCTGTCCATCCACTAATCCACCCATCAGTCCACTCATCCATTCATCTGCTGTCCATTCATCCATCTCCCCCTCTACTCACCCACCAGTCCTCTTATACACCCACCCACATACCCATCTAGTCATTCACCAGTTTATCTATTCACCTGACCACCCATCCATGTATCTGCTCACTCATTTGTTCATTTGCCCTTTCATCCATCCATCCAACCATCCGTCCATCCGTCCATCCATCCATCCACCTATTCATCCATGTGGCTATCCGTCTGCTTCCCCATGCACCCATCTCCATGTCCAAAACTCTGCCTCACTGAGTAGGATCCTCCAACACTACTATGACCCTTCTACCTTCATTCTTGGGCCCAGGAACCCCACTCTCACGCCCTTCTCCCCTTACTCCTTAGCTTATGCTGAAGCAGACCTGTCATAGTCTCCATTGCACAATACCCGCACAGGGATGCTGAAGGGCTGCCACACAGGATTCAGCGTGTTTTTCACAACCTCCGTCTTGTGGCAGATGGTGAACCTGGAGAGGACAGGAGGATTGGAACCTGCCTTTGGGGTAGGACTGAGCCCAGAGACAGGGCCTGATACTCTTGGAGATTCAAGCACATATCAGGCACTGCCTTGAGTGGATTCTGGGCTCAGGTCCTGGTGGAGTCTAAGATGTCCCAGCCTAAGAGCCCTAAGGGGCCCATGGTCACAGTGGGGGTAGTGACTCACGTGCCATCCTCATTGCTCCTATAGAACACAAGGAAAGGGTCTGATTTCCCAAAGAAGTCCTTCTTGTCCAGCTTGTTTGCACACAGCTGCATGGTGGCAATATCCTATGGATGAAATTGGGCTATTGACACTCAAATTGCTCACAAACTCAGAGAGCCCACTACAGGGAGTTTGGGGAGAGAAGAGAGCCTCCTGGGTCTAGTATGTGGCCCTTACTGACCCGACAATTGCTAAGCTCCTCTGCGGTCAGCAATATGGTCCCACACTTCTTGCCTGGTACACCCCTGGAAGCAGAAAAAGCCTCTTTGTGAGGGGAGGGGGGAGAGCAGGAAACAAGAATTGGGGTGGCCAATCTGGGATTGGGTAGGTCAGGGGATCCAATCTGTCATTGACTGATAGTCCCAAGTATGTCCACCTCTGTCCTAGGTGGCTTCTGGTGGGGAAAGTCCTGACTTTGACTGGGGAAGGTTTCTAGTCTGGAAGGAAGGGGTTAACCTAGCCTACGTGGACATATCATACTGGTAGCATAGGAAAGACATAGGATTTAGAGTTCTGGGCAAGTTATTTTCCCTTTCTCTGGGCCCTGGTTTTCTCTTTATGTAATGGGAATCTTGCCCACCTCTCAGGGTTGTGAAGAGATCAGAATGAATGCATGGAAGGAAAAGCAGTTGGTAAGCTTGGTAGATATGAAGGTGGTTCTCTTTCTCAAAGCAGACTCTTCATCTACGATACACCAGACACTGTTCTAGGTATGAATTGGCCAGTTGGCACTTTCCAGCTCTGCGAGATCCTGCCTTCAGGGAGCTTCCAGGGGAAGGTGGGATGTCAAAGCCAATAGGCAAGTAGAGCATGATGTAGCAATCCTAACGAGGGAGAGGAATTTCTATCCAGATCTGGGGCAAAAGGGCTGGTTTGTTAGGTCAAAGATGCTATGCTTTCTGAAGACTGTGAAGAGTGAGATCAAAAAGTCCAGGGCAGCCTTATCTTCTTCTGACACTTCCATGTGCCTGAAGGGTGCATACCAGGACACCCATCCCCAACTCGCCTTGGGTCTCCAAGCAGTCAGGGACCCTGTTGATATGGGCCTGCAAACCCTAACCCCCATGGGATCCAAAAGTGTGGTAGAGAGGAAGCTAGGTTAGGAGTATTCTCAGTTCAAGTTTTGACTCCAGTTTGCTATGTGGTTTTCCCCATCTTTAAAATGAGAATTTGAACCATTTCTTTGGCTCCTTTGATCTCTCTCTGTGCTTTAAAAAGACAGAGTGTAATGAGTACAGGGACTCTTCACCTGCACGTTCAGAACCAAGTCGCTGATCCTACTGCCTTCTCACTGTTCTTTGCTTCCTTAATGTTCTCCATCATCTCATCACCCAGTGTGAATTCCAGTCACTCTGGACTATAATAATCACTCCCTTGCATCCTACTTCTTTTCCCTTGCCCTCTCTCACTTCTATATACTTATCTGGCAGAACCACAGCCCTAGTTAAATCCAATTCTCTGCCTAACCCATACCACACCTGTGCAACTGAATATGGCCAGAGGAAAACACACATTCATGCTAATTGCTTTCATTTTAAATGTGTGACCACAAACCTCAAGAGGGTCCTTAATCATACCGTACACCCCGGGTCCCTTCATGTTTCCAGTTCTGCGAGATGGCAATTTCTCTCTTCCTCCTCCATCCTCACTCTCAGCTAATGACCTTGTTTCCTACCTCACTGACAAAACTGAAGCAACCAGAAGAGAATGTCCACAGACCCACCACGCACCTACCCTGCCTCCAGTATCTTCTCCAACACGAGGCCTTCCTACCGTTGCTATAAATGACTATCCATGTGCCTATTTACCCCTCCACTGTGTGCTACTTTCCACACCCTCCCTCTTGCCTGCACAAGGACGTCACTCTAGCAACTCTGCCCCCCCTTTTTTTTCTCTTTTGGCCACGCCACATGTTATGTGGGATCTTACTTCCCCAACCAGGGATTGAACCCACACCCCCTACATTGGAAGCGTGGAGTCTTAACCACTGGATGGCCAGGGAAGTCCCGCCCCTCTTTTTATTATGTCAAATTTTCAGTTTCTACTGGATCATTCCCATTAGCATACAAACGTGGTATAATTTTTCTCATGTTAAAATATTACAAACCTATTCTTACTCTCACTTCCCTCTCCAGCCACCCCTCCTTTTCTCTTCTCCTTGTAGCAAAACCACTTGAGAGATTCCTAATTCCCATTCCTCTCTTCCATTCTCTTCTAAACCTCCCCAACCAGGCTGTCACTCCCATCTCTCCTTCAAAACTCTGCTTGTCAGCGTCACCGGCGACCTCCATCTGGCTACACCCAACGGCCAGTTCCCGATCCTCACCTTACTTGACCTGCAGCAGCATTTGACATGGTTGGCCACTCTCTTGTCCTTGATACACATCCTTCACTTTGCTGCCGGGACAGCACCACCTGCGCTCGGTTACCCTCCCATTTCACTAATGATCCTTCTCAGCCTCCCTTTCTAGCTCCAATTCACGGAGGAGTCTTTGATCTTCCCTCTCTCCTCGCTCCCTTAGTGATCTCATCTAATCTCATGTCCTTAAAGAGCACCTAAGATTCACGTTCCTTATTGCCTATTTGACATGTCCACTCAGATGTCTAATAAAAATTATGAATTTCAACAGGTCAGACTGAACTCCTGGTTGACTTCCTCCCACAGCTTACTCCTCCCTCACTTTTTAAAAAAAAATATCATCGTTTATGGCAACTCCATCTTTCCATTTGTTCAGGCCAAAGACCTTGGTATCATCCTCGACTCCTCTTATCCTCTCACATCCATATGCCATCTGTCAGGAATCTGTTGGCTCCACCTTCAAGATACATCCAGAATCTGACCAATTCTCCCTCCTTCACTGCTAGCACCGTGGATTACTTCTACCTTTGTCCACCCAAGGTTTGGTCTCAACCCGGCAGCATCCTTTGAAAGCAAGTCAGATCATATCAATCCACTGCTCAGAACCCTCCAGCGACTTCCAACTCAGAGTAAAAACTAAAGTCCTCACCGCGGCTACAAGGCTCTAACTGTCAATGCTCCAAGCTCACCTTCTCCTTTCTCCCCCCTGCTCACGCACTTCCACCCACACTGGCCTCCTTGCTGCTCTTTGAACATATCAGACTTCTGCACTGGCAGTTTCCTCTGCCTGGAACATTCCTCCTCCAGATATCTGCACAGCGCACTCCCTTACTTCCCTCAGGTCACTGCTCTGAAGTTACCTCTCTAGGACGCCTACTCAAGCATTCTGTTGAACACTGCAACACCTACCCACCCAGCATTTCCGGTCCCCCTAATTTTGCTCTACTTTGTCTTTATTCCTCAATACTTAATGTCTTCTAATATATTATGTAATTTACTTATTTATTATGTCAGTTTTGTACTGTTTTTCTCCCCCTTCTGTTATATAAGCTCCCTGAGGGCAGGAACGTTTGTTTTGTTCACCATTGCAACCCAAGCCCCTTGAACAGTGGCTGACATAGAGTGAGTATATGCCCAGTAGTTTGTGGAATGGATAAATCCCTGGTGCCTAGCACAGGGTATAGCATACAAAACAAGCTAATAAATATTTAGCGAGTGAATGTAATGTAAATTCCAGAGAACTTGATTTAGTGAGGAAAGCTTCCTGGAGGAGAAAGGCTTGGAAGTGGACCTTAAAGGTTGAAGCAGACTTAGAAAAAGAATGAAAAGGGTGAGGAAAGAGAGAGACAGAAGATCCGTCAGGACTGAGACTGACTTGAGCAAAGCCCTGGAGGTTGGATTTTCCCAGGAGGGTGATGGAAGCCACTGAAGGCCCCTGACCAGGGGAATCCCAGCCTCCATCAGTACAGGGCCAGCTGTGTCTTTAGGAGGAGCATTTGGAGGCCCACCCTTCCCCAGCTCCCCTTCAGGTTCAGCTCACGTGAGGGGTCGCTCTACTCGGCTGCCCTGGCCTCCGATCACCTCTCCCAGGGCCAGGAACGCTTGTCCCAGGAAATCCTGCGCCGGGATACAGAGTCAGCGGGGCGAGGACCGGCTGGCGGCGCAGAGTCCCAGCCCAGCCCTGGTGACGACGCTGCACTGACCACGGCGACTGGAGGCAGCGGAACCACGCGGCCGGGGCTTTAAAGGAGGCGCGGGGTCCCCAGGAAAGCTACCCTTCTTGGTCCTGCCATCACTTTAAGCCAAGATACCATCCCCCCCCTCGCCTTTCACACACCACACATGTCGCCCCCGCCCAGCCCCGTTCAGCCTCACCTTCTGAGGGGCCCAGCAGCAGTCGAGAAGGAAGAGTAGCAGTGAGTAAGAGGCACAGGCGGGAAACCGAGGCAGGAGCAGGAGAGGAGGGCAGGGAGGGCAGGTTCGGGGCCGAAGAAGGTCGAGTCGGGTTTGAGGGGGAGGAGGGTTCTAAGGAAGGTCGTTTAACACACACTGAGCGCCGCCTGTGTGCCCAGCCAGCCCGTGAGTGAACGGTCGCTCACCGGTTTGGAGATGTTGGTTCTGGAGTCGACGTTGTACCTGGGAAGAGAGTGGGACCAACATGGGGCGGGGCTGGTGGGAGAGCCTGGAAAAGGAGACGGATTTCGAGTCCAGGTTAAAATTGTGGGTGGAAGGAGGGGCAGCCTTGGACCCGAATTCAACCTGGACCTCCTTTGGGCAGGAGTCGGCGTCATCGTGAGTCAGACCCGGGGCGAGGCCAAGTCCGGGATCTGCTGGGGGCAGGGTCACGTCAGAGGTAGGGCTTGGGAAGGGGCGGAGGGTTGGATCTGACCTAAGGGCAGGGCCAACCTAGACTTGTGGGCGGAGCTAAGGCTGAGCCGAGCCCTTCAGAGTGCCACGGAACCGGGCTTGGGGGTGGAGCCAGGCCGGGGGTGGGGGTGGGGCCCGCGGAGGGGCGGAGCCAGCCGGAATTTCGGGCGGATCCAGGTCGGGGGGCGGTCCAAGCCAGATCCGGGGCGGGGCTCACACATCGAAGCGCAGGTTTTGCTTTTCCTCGAAGAAGTAATCGAGGACGAATTTGCGCACGAAGTCTGGGTTCAGCGTGTTGTCGATCACCTCGGTCCGTCCGAACTGAATGGAGAGCGGAGAGTCAGCGCGAGGCCTGTAAGGGGGCAGGTGCCCAGGGGCGGCTCCGGACTGGCCAAGGGTTCTAGGACTTACCTCCCGCCACTCTTGGCTGGCCCGGCTCTGCGTGTAAAGCACCACCACTGCAGGCGGGAGCGGGGCCGGGGAGGGAAGGACTTCAGGTCGGCCCGCACGCCCTCCCCGCCCCTCAGTCTTTCCCGGACCCCAGGTTCCCTCCCTCCTGGCCCTGGTGCCGCCTACTGGGGTCGGACTTGGAGAAGGTGTCGAGGTCCAGCAGGTTCCTAGAGAAAGGGGCAGACGGACACGGGGTGGATCATTCTGGAGCCCATCGCCTCGAACCTGCCCAGAGATGGGCACCTGGGGAGGCACGGGGCTCACATCACACTCCCCTCCCCCGTTACTACCTCTGGCTTGGGTGTGTGTGTGT